TTTTTTTTTTTTTTTTTTTGTACAGGGAGAAACGAGTCCCGTCGAGTGATTGTTTTAGATACTTGTTTTTTAATCTCTTGATTTACGACCTTCCTTCTAAGTAGCTACTTAAGAGGCTGTTATAATTAATCGTCGCTGTAATATATACGACGATCGGACTGCGAATAAAACATACAAAATATCCACGGTTCCTACTTCGTCTTTTGCATCGAGCATTGTAACTCGATGGAAAATCATTTTCCGCGTAGATTTCATTCTCTTAATCGTACCGTCGGAAGTATGAATTTGCGTAAAACTTCGCCGTCAATGGGGAACGATCGTTTTTTAATTAGCTAATAACGATCGAACGTATAATCGGTAACTTGTGACGCAAACAGCTGAAAAAGTTCGATGAACCGACTAAAAAGAAGCTTTTCTCGGAAGATCGCGGGAAACCGATCTTTCGCGTTTTGTTAGAAAATGAAGAAAAAGGAGAGCGCGCGAGCTTGAACCAAGTTCGATCATGGTGAATCGCCGTACGTGTAAGTTTAATTGCCGCGTGTAGCGGTCGAGGAGGAAAATCTCGGGCACGGGATCGAAGACGGTCGATAAGACCGGGGAAAGAAGGAAGCGGGACTAATCGTAAGAGAGAAAGGAGGAGGAAGAAGAAGATGATCGAGATAAAAAAAGATATGCGAAACAGCGTGTCGATGCATACCGACGCGTAACACCGTGTAGGCCATAAACTAGCGGGGGTAGAAAGATATTTATGCGACGGCTGGCGAGCATAGAAGAGCGAAGAAGGATTATATCTTCGGATACGTAATAACGGTTAGCTTAGAATTAGCGAACTAATGCGGGCAAGCGCGTCGATCGGTATCGCGTTTGCCATTTAGGCCCTAACCAAACTATACACCTGCCCTACCTGTAATCACGATCCATCTACGCTAACAGATTTTTTCTCTCCTTCCTTCTCCATCTTTCCCTCTTCTTCGCGCACGAGGGACACGCGATGCGATGATCTCTCTTTTTCGCTCTGCAGTCGATCCTAAATCGCATGTATTCGTAATTGAAATGTACGAGCGATACTTACACCCTTCGTATGGCTCTCTTTAAAGCTGCGTTAACAGCTAATCGGCTGGTTAATGGCTGATAAGATTTTGACCCGACTCTTTGGCTAATACGTAAAGCGTTTATACGAAGATGCCGAGGGTTGAACGAGGACGAGGATGATCTTACGATTGGATCATCGATTTTACGATGAAAAATTTCTTAGGTATTCGGCGCTCTGTGTGGCTGCTTGGCATTATATCCGTTGAACATAGGTTACGATATATACATTTTTGGAAATAAATCGCGACAAGTGGATAAGTAGATATTTATGGATTTACGGATTTACATGGGCGAAAGTGTTCAGAATGCGCAAAAGTTACGATACTTATGTAACAAACGAAACGAGTTTCCATTTAAGTTTCATTCCTTTAATCGTATTCAACGGAATACGAGATGAAAGAGACGAATGTTAAAATTAAGGGGAATTCTTGAATTATCAAATCTCTAAAATAAAAGAATTTTTCGCATTTCGAAAAGAGTCGCATTTTTAAAGTCCTATTCTGCTCTACCTACGCCACCGTTCTACCACGCGTTCTAATTATATCGATCGCTAATGTCGCAGGCACTTTTTGACGCGAAGATCTCCGATCAATCGTAAATCATTCTGCCTCGATCGAATAAAGTCTCAGTTCGGATACTTAACCGTTTAATTGCTCGAGTAATTAAGGCGATACAACGTATGCGTCGATGATAGCTAAATCGTTAAAAGGAATAAAAAAAAAGCAATCCTCCCTTCGTTTCAACTGCAATCTCGATACCGCAGCTTGTTTAGAAGTCTTACAAGTCGTGTTAATAATCTACTTAAACGTTGAACGAGGGAAACGAGGAGAAGGGACGACGGCGAGTGGAACCCGAGAGGCAAAAAGCACGGCAGACAGTGCGATATAATTAAACTCGTTTAATAACAGGTCTATAGATCTCGCCTCTCGATTCGCCGTATAAAATTCTTCGTTAATTACTGTCAAACTGGCTTCTAAATCGTAATTTAGCCGACGCCTCGAGCGTCCGATCTCTCGTGGAAGGAATCGAGGAGGAGCAGCAGAAGAAGAAAGAAGGAGCGAGCGCGAAAGAAAGGACGCGAGCGCGCGTGCACGCGCAAAGAGAATAAGAAAGGAGAGATTTTAATTTTGACCAGCGAACGACTCGTCTTCTGATCTCGCCGACGGTAGCTGACCTCGTAATAAATGTCCGAGAAAAGATAACGAGAGGCTGGCATAAATGTCATCGTATAAATCTGAAACAGCCGATATTCATAGCGCTGTATCAGCGTTGCTAATACGTCGGTTTTGCCAAGACTCGTTTGGTCGATGGCTGATTCGAAGCTGGCGTTCGTTGTTCGCCGAATCTGAATTTCTGTCGCTTCGCGTTATGCGTATATAGCTATGCGCGACGACAGTGGAGGAGGGTTATTTTTTGAGAAAAATTTCGTCAATTTCCAAGCATGTTTCGTCCTTTTATTCCGTTTTTCTATCGCTGAGAGGCGTTTTAAGTTTGCGCGAGATACGAAAGAGTCGTCGTTGAACAAGATCATGTTGAAAAAGGAGTTACGTTAATTACTTCGAAGAATAAATTGCGACGATAAAAAAGCGCTGCAAGGACAACGAAGAAGCGGATAAAGCAAAAAAGAAAAAAAAAGAAAACGAAATCACAGTGTAAGGACGCGAAAAAAGAAATTTTAGCAACAATAAAACAGCGCAAGGACAACGGGCAAGTAATTTTAGTAATTATAAAAAGTGGTACAAGGGCGTCAAAAAACAGATGTAGCAATAAATAAAGTTAGCGCAAGAATATCAGAAGGAGGACGGGCAATGAGAATAAAAGTAAAATTCGAGGTACCAGCGATAGAACCAAGGGCTAACGAAGCTGAAGAAAACGACGGATAATTTCCAAGATAGCTATATATACGCTACGATAGATACATAATACTAGAAACCTGCAAATTCCAAGCAGAAATGGAAATAGAAATTGAACATGGCGGAAGGAGTTGAATCGATGGAAAACTTGCAAAGAACGAGATTGCAATTTCCTTCGTATCTTTTTTCCTTAAAAGACTGCTAGCTACACTGTCCGGAAACGTTAACCGTATAAGCTAGAAAGCTCTGTATGGTAATTGCTACAAATACAATTCCCCATATTGTCGTGTATATGCAAATACTCTCATAGAAGAAAGAATAAACCTGCATCGAGCTTCGAAGACGCTACTAGGAGATAAACGCGTATAGCCTTCGATTTAAATACGTTATGATATCGTATAATCACGGAAGAACACGATACGATCGTTAGGCGTTTTGGAAAATGAAAATTTACGAATTTCACGACGAATTGCAAAACTCGATTAAATACGATCTGTTTGGCATATTAAAAAGGAGGGGAAATATATGGTAGTAAACGTAGGAGCGTAATAGAACTCACCTGTATGCGGCATATTGATCCAAGGATTTCCGCGATAGTCTGGAACAGAAACGAGAACGGTTCATTAACGAATGTAGATCATTCGCAATCATCGGTCGATTCTTTAGCGCACGCAATTATTTCGAGCGTTGGGTTCGTCCGTTTTATGGCATAACGATGACCATATTTCGTACGTGTGTTGAGAGAGGGCCTCGCATGTGTGCGCCGCAGTTTACGGGAACATAGCCTTTACTGTTAATGAATTTAAATGTATTCAAAGGGCGCGCTTGACGCTTGACACGGCAACCCTTAAATATGCAACCGTACCACGCGGCAAAATATTATCGCCTGCCGGTACCGTGACTCTCATTCCGTGAAAATAACGTAATCGCGGGTGAAACCGAGCCCAGGTCGATTATTCGCGATCGGCGCGCGTATCGACGATTTTGCCACCCGGCGACAAACGCGCGTAAAGGCAGCTGTAATTTGACCGGGCAGAGTCTCCCGAACAATCTCTGTCGATTTAATTTTAACGTAACGTTTAAGAAACGATTTACGTCGCTTATCGGCGTCTTGTTTTAGGGATTGACGCGGACGTAGCTTGTAACTAAATCGCGTTCGTTGGAGGTCGAGAAAAGAGGATCTGGTTTGTTCTTTTTTTATTTCTGCCGGAATTATTACAACGAAAAATTCGTATTCGAAATTTCTATATTAGGAAAATTCAAGATGATTGTACATGGTCGAGGATTGTTAGGTAATATAAAGAAACATTCGATATCGAATATCGAAACATATCGAATACGAACGATTTTTTATCGTGGAATCGTAACGAGTAGGTTTGCGAAAATATTCTAAGCACCGTTTATTATTAGACACACTCGATCGCAAATCACGAGTCACGTCAACCGGCATTAACTCGTTTCGCTGATTCCAATTCTCCGCTTGTCCTACAGTAGCAATTTTCGTCGAAATAAGCAGCGGCAGAAACGTTATATAGGTATAACTATCGTTAATCGTTATTTCCTGGTCACGGGATACTTTTTTCCTGTTTCGTCAAGTATTTTGGACGAGCGAACCACCGTTCCGCCCTGTACTTCCTATTTCCGCCAAAGTACTGATTACGGAATCATAAGCGTCCGAAACGTCTAAAACGAAATACAATACTTTTGAAATGGCATAACGAACAAGACGCGATAATTTATAAAAGTTTCTCTTCTCCTTCGATCGCGAGTAAAGGCGGAGTAGTTCTTTCGCGACACGCAAGAACCGCTAAAATCCATAAAAGCGATTCTTTTTTCCTTGGAATAAAGATGCAGCAACTCTGCAACGCGGTACGAGACAAGTTCCGTCAAGATTTACAAAAAAATTATCCGATATTCTCTCGTTCGTAGTGGAAAGTCTGCCTTTCTTCTTCCACGAAACAACGCGCGATCTTCTTCTCGATACGAAACGAATTCTCGCTAGATCTTCGAAAGCGTGGGGTTCGACCGAACCTCGCGATTCCGTTCCACGTTCGAAGGTCGCCCAACAGCGCATATCGATAATCACGTTAACGCGTAGATACTTGATCGAAAGAAGTACGTAGACAGTTCTTGGATGTGGAAAGGAGAGGAAACCGGTGGGTGTGTCGGTGGCGACCGCGACGGCTTGAGAACTCTAAAGAGATCGAACGGTAGCGGAAAACTACGTGGAATGCGTGCGTAGCGTGGCGGGTGGCGTGTACTTTGTGATGCAAATTAATGCGCGATTACCAAAGCACCCGCTACCCCCGCCGCCCTTTGCTTTCTCGTCGTTACCCTCGCCTCGTTCGTGTCGAGGTCCCCGCCAGCGGAGCAAATGGCCAACACGGTTGTGTTTGTGAAGCGAGTAGAGAGCACGGTTTCAGGTGTATTCTCGGCTATGTGCAACGAGTACCGAGCTCACCCCGGTCACTCGATGGCTACCCACGCATTAAGCCTGCTTACACGCTCGCTCCCCTAATCTGATGTAACTATTACACGTTACGCGGCTGCACGGTCGCGCTATCGACGAAATTATTCCTCTTCTTTTTCTTCTTCCCCCCGTTTCGTCTTCTTCTTCCTCGTTTCCGTTATAAATTTTGCCACGATTCTTCGTCGCTCGTTCGGAGAAGCTGATCGACCGGTCGCGAGATAATTTACACGCGCGAAAAAGTATCGTCGAAAGCGTCACAGCCGAGAATAATCGGGCAAACAAGCCTAGCTGAATTTCAGACAGCTTTCTTCGCATTTTATTATTTTAAACGGCAACGCGATCCAAGATGGCTTTACTCGGACGTCTGCTACGAATCGATTTATTGTCGATAAGATTCGTATCTCCTGGATTTAAAATATATGGAACATCGAGGAGAAAAATGAACGTGAGAATCGTGTCGCGTATCAGCGAAATTTCGAGATCCGCAAGAAATCGGGAATGTCGTATTCGAGTCGGTGTCTCGCAAGAAAACAAGCTGAACATTTTTGCCCCGCGTCCGCGCAAAGACCTGGAAAATCGACGGTGCAAAGTTATTACGGCGTCGACGATCGCCGTGGAAAAACTCGATTCTACGTATATGGTGTTTGTAAAGTTCGCGGATACCAAATTCCATCACGAAGTGATTTCAAGGTGTCAAGCGTTACTCGTTAAAGCAGCGGTTGCCCCTTTATTCGTCCGAAGATACGAGCACGATTCGGAAGCAGGATGTACAACGACGCGTATTAATTTAATTAGATCGACTTTCATCGCGAAACCGTCATCGACGAGGGTTTTCGTTTTTTATCTCAAAGCCTGTTTCTTTCGGGACGGGTTTTCGCTCTCTCGAGTTTTCATATTTCAGCAAAGATACTTTTTACTTTCGCGGTACAGACACCTGAGCGGTTGAAATTTTGCAGAAAATCGATTATTCGTACGACGGAATTCGATTTTGCGTCTTGGACGCGCCCTTTTAAGTTTCGTTTGTACTATGCCAAGCCGTCGAGTATCCGAATACAAAGTTCGGAGTCTTGTTAGAGAGTTCACGTGTCTTCGCTGTAATCTCGGTAGGAAATCGAAGGCTAAATTCGAAGATCCGTAAATGTATTCCGATTTAATCTTAGTAGCCACGAGTTGAAAGGAAACGAGTCTGCCGCAAACTATATGTATCTGCATATGGATCGATTCGTTTCTTTTCAATTCGATAGTTATCGCAAGAATTCGAAAATCTAGGCATTCGGAAGTCGATGAATCGATATCGACGTTGGCGCAAAGAGTCGTGCGACCAACGATCCGCGATATCCATTTTCCCTCAAAAAGTGAAACGTTTCGCTCGAAAAACAAGCTGCCTTGCCGTTATCGTTATCGCTAACCATCTTCGAGGCTTGATATTTACGAGACAAAACGCTTCCTTCGTTCCACATAGGAAGAAAATTACTGGCAATTTTCTTTCGTAGGCGTCAGCGAAGTTGCGTTCGATTCGAAAGGATGATCGGAAATTCCGCGCGGCCAGTTTCTCGTCGAACAGCGGTCGCCACAATAAAATATCTCGGTAATGAGGATTGAACGATTATTATAAATCAAACAGGGCCGGCAACGCGGATCGTTCGCCGCATTTCTCGCGCGCCACGTGTTTTGCCGTCGTTACTCTCTCGTGAACACGTGTCCCGCCTCCCGCTTTATTTCTTTCTTCGACGTTGCTCTTCGCTCGCCCCGCGGTACGTGCAAAAGTGACGTACGAACCGAACGCTCTCGGACTCCGACACGCTGAATTTTTCTCCCGGTTCGCAAGGGGGCCGCCGTGAATTTCTTTTGGCCACGCTATGATACCGATGTTTCAATTACGCGGCTTGGCCGAAACTCGCGCCTAAAGGCTCGATGGATGCTTCGAACAAAAAGAGGATGACCAGGGGCGTGTAAAAATTTGTGGAAACGCCGAAACTCGGAGGGCTGATGTACCGTGGAATTTTAAGGCTTAACGAGGCCTGTTCGACTTTGAATTTACGGAAATATAAATTCATTTACCGATTTTGGGTATGCGGGTTATCGCGCGAACGCTTTGTAACGCGTATTAGAGCAGGATCTTTTAACTCGTAAATAGATTTGAAGGGTTTCAAGGAATTCACCGACTACTTCTTGAGAAACAAATATCTCACTTCGATAAGGAGATTTCGATACTTGCTCGAACGTTGCTCGAACTCGCTCAAAGTTCCGTCGTTACCGCGAAAGAAATTTGTAGATGCTTCTTAATAAGTCAATGATAATCTACCTAAATCGATTTAACGCCGTTACTATCTTTATGTTGATTCAAGGTCTTTGATCGGCAGCACGAGCGAGACCTCGCAAATGGAATTTTCCTTAGCAAGCAACGTATTTAACGTTCCATGTAGCTTTCTACAACGTTTCCTTCGCGAGTCTAAGATTTTCGTTCCTTCGTAATCTTTCGATTAGTCTGAAATTGAATTAACCGCGAGTTATAGCGTATCGCACGAACGGTAAAACATTGGACAAAATTAAGCGCACAGGAATCGATTATAACGACTCGAAAACCGAGGAACAACACGTAACTACGGTGACATCGATGCCTGCATAAGACAGTATCGAGCTCCAAACACGATTCACGCGGTCTTCTCTTTCGCTGCTCCACTTTTCGAAAAGTATAGTACGCGTATTTTTCGCTTAGCTATCGTACGCTTGGAAACATTTATTTTGAATCAACGTAATCCTCCCCCCCCCCTCTATCGTCTAATATATTCTCGACAAAAGTTGAAAGAATCTTGTCAAACTTCGACTCGTTATCGTTACGAGCATAAATATATTTCGTCATTCCGTCGATAAATAGGAACAGAACTTTGCGAAGAATCCTTCGCCGCGTCGTTTCGCATCGAGTCACCGAGGTAAAAACGAATCCCTCTAACCCTCGCGATAACGATCCAGCAATGAAGAGAACCTGAAGAAATTTCTTCAAAGGGATTGCCAAGCGACAAACTACGTAACCGTCTAACGTAATATCCGTCTGAAACGAGTACTCGAACCTCTGCATCTTTTCTTCCCATGGTATCGTCGACACGGGAAACCTTTGAAAAACGAAGATACAGTGCGGATCAAAATGTAACGTAACAATAACGAGGTTGTAAGTTAATTCGAAGCAGCGATCGATGTTTTAGAGTCGGCGTGGTATTCCATTCGCGATTAATCAATTGTTATTGACCGATTAGTTCGATAACTCGAGAAACGAGAAAGAGAGGGGAACGATGTATAGATGTAACGTTTCTTGAAACAGTCTACGCTATAAAGTTTTATCGGCGAGTCTACGACTTTACAGATTTAATATGCAATAAATATTTCGTTGGAACGTAATCGAAATGTACAGAGTCGCAAATGAGATGTACATGTTCTAAATAAAATTCTTTTTTCAGATCGGTCTCGAGAAAAAGCGAACTGGAACGTTGGCGAAACGTGGAAACGAAACGACAGGTACCGACGTTAAAAACACGATGAAAACCCGAAGAGCCGCAAATATGTCATCCAATCATCGTGAAAGTTAGAAATCTATTTCCCTTGTTACGTCTTCCGTTGCAGGTTATCCAGCCGTGGAAAAGGTTCGATTTGAGAACCGCAGGCGGTAAATCGCCGGTAAGGTCACGCTTTTACGTGTAAGCCCTAAGCGAAATCTAGTTTTTGTTTATTCATTAGGTTACCCCGCTTTAAGTGGTACGTGGAGAAGGCTTGCCCCGACACAGCCAACGTTACACCGCGTTCAGGGTGGGAGGAGGGTGACAGGGGGACGGGGGTGGACCGCCGTATCTCCGATATGCCACCAGCCATAAAAATCTGAATATATTAGGCCTACATGCACACGACATCTCGCTCGGATCGTGAACACGTTACCCACGATAATCTATGCTCGTTTCTAGCACACTTTAACACGTTTCTGCGTACCCACTGGCCGTGGCTACCGTGGCCGCTCTACCTGCTCTAGCTTCTTCCTTTGGCCACCTTTTTCCAACTATCCTTCTTTCCCATCCTCTCTATTTGCGTTGCGGTTCCGTGTAAAAAGCTCGTGTCGCGACTTCCTTTCCAAGATGGATGGTCTGGTTTCGATGCAAAATTCGAAAGCTTTAATTCGCTTCCTAACGAAAGCGAGAAATTCGAAAAAACGGGCGTGACGTTCGTTCCTACGATTTAACGATTTAGATCTCGTCGTTAGATCATCCGCAAGATGCTTGAATTTAATAGATCTTAAAATAAGTACCGTAATCTGTATCGTAGGTATCACGCGACAAAAGTACCGTCAATCGCATCTGTCGTGCGAAATACGAAGTACAAATTGAAGTTAAGTGCCATGCGGTTAAATAACTTGGCTCGTGTCTGACCCAAGGTTCCGCGGTTTTTTATAACCGAACGATACAAATCGGGGCTGATACGGACTTAATTATTCGCATATTCCGATAGTTGGAGAGGCCGAATTCGAACGCTCGCTAACTCTCTGTACCGTTCAACCATGAAAGAACGCACGAACTTTGGTATTCTACTTAAAAATGTCAGCGATATATCATACGCGCAAACGCGTAAAAATCCCTATCAATTTGCGACAAATTGGTTGTTGGATAAAAATCGCCTTTTTACGTAATTGACCGGCATTATCCTTTAAATTTGCTATTTATAAAGGTATTTGTACGGTGTACAACGATGTTTGGCATGCCACAAAATTGCATCGAATATTAAACGCAAAAAGAATATCTTCGGGGCCACGTCGCTCAAGGTTAGCTGGAAAACCGACATAAAATTGTCGCTTATCGTTGAGCACAAGCACGAATTTAGCGGAATCTCGATTTTTTTTTTTTCTCTCCCTCGAAATATATCGAAGGCGAGCACCAAGAAGCCTGGTGAGCTTTCGAGAGCGCGGCGAAGCAACGAGCAAAAAGGGCGGACAGGGGACTGGAGGGAGGTAATTAGAATAATTCGGGCCGCTGTGGTTCACGCCACACGGACGAATTTGCATTTTAAATGAAGCAATGGCGTGTCAGAGGCCCCCGGTTGCGCCGGCCAAGCAGAGCGGCAGAACTTTGTGTTTTATAAGGAACTTTAATATTTATCGCGTATATCCAAACCGAATAAATCTCTATACGTATATGTATACACGTAGGACCGGGTACACGCATACAAGGACCCGCGTATACACCGCTGTCTATAAATATACATAACGTTACAGCATTTACGTCAGACCGATTGGAAAAGTTTGACAAATTCCGCTTTGTCTAGTATGTTACGTTATCGGAATACTATCGTTAATTAGCGTCATAAATATCAACGATTATATCCTTTCGTTCCATATATGTAGTCTCGTGCGGAATTTCAAATTGATTTTTGCAAAATTCTCGCGTTGCATGGAACGTGTAGCGATTTTAAACTCTCGCCCGATAGCGTAAGAGTGGTAAACTTTTATCGAAATAATGGATTTATAATGGAAAATAAAATTGCGTATAAAACGAAAATGCTGGAAAATATTCGATCTGCGTTAACTACGCTGTACGACGCGTATAATATGTCCGTAAAAAATATCTACGAGTATTTGAATACTTTTGCGAGCTACGGTACATCTAGTCTTTATCTCGCGTATAAACTTATGTATATATATATATATATTTATATACACACGCACACAAATACGTTAAGGGCTTCCTTGTTTGGACGTAGTCACGGGCAGTTCATGCTCGCGTTTTCTTTCTTTCCTCTTTCGCCGATCGAAAGAACCGGCACACGAGTCGTTCCTCTCCGCCGTGCCGGGGCCCCTAACGGTGGATCGTTATCGCGTAATTAGCGCCGCTGATTTTCGTGTTATGTCATTGACACGCATACGGCCGTACGATGATACCCTTCATTTCGGGTTATCGAGACCCGCCAGTGGAAAGAGGAGATTCCTCGTTCCCCGAATCGGAGGAATCAGAGGGACGTGTTTCGACTACGGTCGCACGTGTTCCTTTTCCTTTTTGCTTTATTTTCCACTTAATCGCACCTGAAATTGAACGGCAAAATGATCTTTGCATCTTCCTTGGGTGTGAAATTCTACTTGTTTTCGAAAGTTCCTTTGGAATTTGATCGATCGTATTTATGAAATTTGGTAAAACGGTAGTTAGACAATTTGGAAATTCGAGCGTAATCGGCGAACGGGGAAGGGTCGATTTTTACAGCTACGTTTCGTTGTTTATTTCCGCGCCAGTTATTACAGATATTCGAATCGAGGTTCGTGCGAAACGTATACGAGGCAAATCTGATCGATTCTACGAGGTTAAATCGTTCGGTTTGGATCAAAATTCTGAACGTAGGCGAAATTTTTCTTTCACCGCGGGGCAACGTTACCGCGTACTTTTTTTTTGTTTTTTTTAACTTTAAAATGAATCAGCACGATCCTAATGAACGATTAATAGTCGCAAAAATGGATTTTAAGATATTACATAGGAAAGGAGTTACTCGGTAAATTATCGAGGTTATCTAAATGAATGGATCTACTCGAATAATTTCATACTCGTTAAAATATTCCACAACTAAAGACTCTGATAAATTACGTAAATCAACATGAAGTAAAGGTAACCTTTATCAAATAAACGGCACGGTATTCCATTTACAGTCCACGATTATTCGAAAGCAATTCTCCCCGACTATCTCCGGTATCTTCGTTATATTATAAATCAAATCGTTAAGAAACAAGCGACGTTCCAGCGACGTTTAAATTCTTACTTTGTAGCCAGAGCTTCGTATAAAATATCCGTTGCCACGTTCGATCGATGTAAAAACTTTTGTTAAAAATACAACGAAAATCGATGTACGTACCTGTTGATTTTTCCCTCAATAAGAACCGCCTCTTCTCGTCCGGAAGAACCAGAGTTGCCACCAATAGTCGATCGTATTCGCGTCAAAAGTCGTTGCGAAAGTTCTCTTTCAATCTTCCATCTCCGTTTTGATTCACGGCGAAACCACGATTCTCGGCATAATTTAGACACCGATGTTCCGTGACACTTATCGTCGCAGGAAGCGATTCCGCTTTCACGAGTGTTCGAATGCGTCAAGAGAAACCAGACTCTATAATGATACACCTACGACGTATGACAGGCCACGACGAGTTTCTCTCCGCTTCGATCCTGTGTTTGCACGCGCCGTCAGACCTCGACGCGTCGATTGTCTCGTTAATGATCGGCGATCAACGCGATCTATCCGTAGGACGTAGGTTAAATGTCATGTTCGAACAGAGACGCTATCGAGTCGTTCGCTTCGTCGTCGTTGCCGCGATCGACGCTCATCGTTTCTCCGCGCTTCGATCCTTCGTCGAACGGAATACTCTCGTCGGTGCTTGCAACTTCTCCTTCCGATTTCTTCGATCTCTGATATATAGAATTTTTGTACGTTCAATCTGTATTTCGCGATCTGGCTCGGCGAAGCATACGACGACGATCCAGAGTAACACGGAGACAGTTTTCTCGTGCTTTAACAACGATACACCAAGTAGCACGAGGTTCTAACTCGAAAGCGTTGGCGCGCGCCACTCTCCGAAACTTCGGCGATCCGATCCTCTCGTTTCTCTCTCAACACTCGATATCGAATCTTCTTGTTTGTCCGGTGCACGCGCTTCTTCTCATCCTCTTCGATCTTCCAACTGCCATTCTTCCTTCTATATTTCCGGTATAATCGGAGCAAATATATTCTCGCAAAGAGAAGTTCGATCTTGTCGCCGACTATTCTATACGCAACGATCGGTTCGACGAAGAGAAATCAACGGGAATATCACCAAACGATAGGTCGTTTCGGTAACGCGAACCGATAAAACTGTCGGCGGTCGTCTATCGATAAGAAGCTCGTCTCGATGGTACTACGCGATCGATCGGTTTGACGAGTGAAAGCTCGGTTGGCACGGTGCCGGCCGCAGTGGTAGCCGCTTCTCCGGCTGTCTTCCTGGACCTCCTCCAGGCGCTGGGCACCTCGTGCGCGCGTGCAGCTACTCCTGGTAGCCGTCGGAGTGGCAGG